CTACGTGGTATGAACAAACAAGCTTCAATCTCGTATATGATTCATAACACGATATCTCTATAGTCAGTAATAATCTATATCACATTCTATTACAGACATCAAGGGGAGAATTAAAACAATTCCTACCCAGTGTAGAAATTTATTAATTCATGGTCCCTATTGTAAAGTTGCTAAGGTCGTCTCCGCGCTCGGCACGGGAGCTTTACTCGGCTATGAATGGATTCAATTGTCTTGCCCACGGGGACAAATACCCCTGTTTCTGGATACAATTAACGGGCTATCCATTTTCATATGCAGCTATGAGCAACTATGGAGAAAAAGAGGGTTAGTTTCAGCGATACACGGGGTAAATTAGCAGCCGTAGTTGCGCATAGAACGGCAGTTCTATATATCTCTGATAACTAATCACTAAAATTTAGCTATGAAACAGCTTTTACCCGTGAAGTAGATTTCATTAGAAATTCAACAATACAACAGCCGTTCTAGGGAATCACAGTTCAAAAGCCCGCCATTATTATGCATAATAAGAGTAATATTCTTACAAGCAAAGATATCGGACTATCCATAATGGCGAGTACCTGGGAAACTGCCGGCAATGTTTACTTTGCTCGGAAAGCAGCGGCAACAATTAAAGGCTTAGATTAGGTAAACGGGCGGCAGCAACCCGGCAAATTAAATTGACATGGGCATGGATTACCGTCGGATTGTAAAACGGCTCCAGCTTTCACTAACTGAGGGGCGCGCAAGACATGATTGGCCTGTTAGTTCAGCTGCGTCCAGCATTATTCCTTATCGATACTAAGCTTCAGTAATTTTTTTTTCTGCAATATCGTACCTGCGCACTCGGACCCTTAGGTCCAGGTATGTTAAACAAATATTTGATCTTCATTAAGAAAACAATTTAGCATAAATTGACGAAGGAGCGACAGGACTCGAACTCGACGACAAACTACATTTTGACATTACCAATATACCACCCTTCACCCGACTCAGAAACGATCATGTTTCAAGGCACGGCAAAGCGGCGCAAGCTCGACGACGGAAATGGTGTAGATGCCTCTCGATCTAGTGGTTTTTCCACCACGACAGCAGGCCCAGGTGCTTTCGTGCTAGAAACAGAGGAGCTGTTAAAGGAGGTAGAGTTCAATTATACTGAACCCTCCAACCATGCCGATCCCATTCTACGAGATTTCAAGGAAACGATCGAGGCTTTGGAACCTCATGAGCCTCTCCCCGTAAGTCTAGTTCCAGGTTGACGACTAGACTTAGCTAGTATCTAATCCGAGATCCTCATAGATTACGACTGCGACGGCACAGCTTGAAAAAGCAGCCCTAATAACGATACCTTACCCCGATCCGAAACCAGCAAAGGATTCTCCGTATAAGCTATCCTTTGAGAAGCCGGTTCGAGTCGACGTTGTAGGAAGCTGGGCTCTGAAGACAAATATTAAATCCCAACCGGATTTGGCTGTCGACATGATTGTCGCCATGCCCGAATCCATCTTCCAGGAGAAAGACTATCTCAACATGAGATATTTCTATAAGAGGGCGTACTACTTGTCTTTTATCGCCGCCGAGCTTCGCAAGAGTCGCAGTGATGTGGAATTCGCTTTTGACCATCTGCATGCGAACATGCTGTTACCGATACTTGTCGCCCGAGTAAAGGACCCAAAGTGTCCAGCGATTCGCATAATTCCATGCGCCCCCGAAGGATACTTTCCAACATCAAAACTGACAGCCATCAGCAACTGTATCCGGCAGGGCAAGTCTGAAGATACCGAAGGCGCAAAAGTTCCCACGCCTTTCTACAACACAACTCTGAAAGCTGAGAGCCAGTTCTTACCTTACAAGCAACTGCTCCACAAAGCTGCCAAATCCTGCGCCGCTTTTAAAGATGCATGTGTCCTCGGTCGTATATGGCTACAACAGCGAGGGTTCAGCAGCAATATCCGCCGTGGTGGCTTTGGTCATTTCGAATGGGCGGCAATGATGGCCCTTCTCTTACAGGGCGGAGGCCGGAAAGGAGAAGCAGTACTCTCACCTTCTTTGAATAGCGCTCAACTGTTCAAGGTGACGCTGCAATATATCGCCACAGCAAACTTGCAGAAAAAACTACTTGTCATTGGCGAAGACCCCCCGGACTTGGAGACGCTCCGTCAGACCATGCCTATCCTCTACGATGCCGCCCGTGGAATCAATATCCTCTATAAAATGAGCCCGTGGTCTATCGCAATGCTGACAGAGCAGGCTAAGTGGTCGCTTTCCGTACTGAAGGACACCCCGTACGAACAATTTCATTCGCTATTCATCGCCAAAGCCAACCAACCTCTACAAATGTTCGACTTCTTGCTAAGCATCCATGTCCCGGCCTCCAAAGAAGGCTTCGAATCGACCGATTGTAAAGGGCTTATCTGGGATTTTAGCGCCAAGCTATACAACACCTTAAAAAGAGCGCTTGGCGAGAGAGCGCGGTTAATTCACATCACCACGCCAGAGAAACCGGAATGGTCCCTCGCGCCCGGATCAAAGTTGCCAAAGGAAAAGTATAAATCCCTCCTGGTTGGAATTGTTATTGATCCCTTAAAAGCATCGTCGGGCCGTGAGTATGGGCCTCCGTATGAAAACAAGAGCGAAGCGGCTAGGTTCCGCGAGTTCTGGGGTGATAAGTCCGATCTATGGCAATTTCCTGACGGAAGCATGGTTGAGAGCGTTGACTGGACTGAACATGCTTACCTGGGCTTTCCGGGAATATGCGAGGCTATCATTCGATACATACTCAAATTGCGACTTCAACTAGATGAAAGCGACCTTGAGTTCTACGGCGGAGAGATGTCCAAGGTTCTGCCGCTTCTACCCTCCGACAAGGTAGGATTCGACAGAGCCAAACAAGCCTTCGATATATTGGAACGGGATATCCGCGATCTTGAAGGCCTACCCCTACACGTGAAGCACGTAGCACCAGTGGGCACAGATTTACGGCGCACATCACTGCATACACCGGAATTCAACTTCAGAAAGCCCCTCCTAGAGCCAATGGATGTCGTTGTTTCTTTCGAAGTCTCTGGCAAGTGGCCCGAAGACCTACCTGCCATCCAGAGAGCTAAGACTGCCTTCCTACTCAAGATTGGCAGCTCCTTGGAGGAAGTCAAGGAAGAGGAAGTCAGAACGCGACTTGGACTAGATAATGCAGCGCGTGGTGACGGGAACTTGTCATTCTTGAACGTCATCTATGAGAACGGCGCTTCATTCAGAATTCGAGTACAGAGCGACCTCGAAGAAGCGCTGCTCGACAGACAAAGGAGAGACCAGACAGCAGAGCGCCACGTTCGTACGAGGGCAGCCGACTTGCTTGCCTCCTATAAACGAATGTATATCAACCTACCACTCCACAACCAAGCCATATCCACATTCTGCACCAGATTCCCTGCGTTATCGTCCTCTATACGTCTCACCAAGCACTGGTTCAACTCCCACAAGCTATCGTGTTACTTTAAGGAAGAACTCATAGAACTGTTTGTCCTACAGGCTTTTCTCAAGCCATATCCTTGGCAAACGCCCTCCAGCGCAACAACTGGATTCCTCCGAACGCTCTTTCTGCTGTCGAGGTGGGACTGGCGTACCGAGGCCCTCGTCGTCGACTCCTCGGACGAACTCTCTACTTCGCAGCGCTTCGAGATTAACACTCGGATACAAGCGTGGCGGAAGACTGACCCAAACATGAACCGCTTGGTCCTATTCGTGGCTACATCCTACGACGTCACGGGCCTGGCGTACACTCAAGACGGTCCATCGAAGGTAGTCGCCACGCGGATGACTACCCTAGCGCGGTCGGTGTGCAAGATTGTCAAGGAGCAGGGCGTCGACGCCAGCTTCCGCAGTCTTTTCCAGCCCGCGCTGCGCGACTACGACGTCATGCTGCATCTGAACACGAGAGTGCTTAAGAAGCTCAACCAGGAAGAGGCCGCCAACCGACGCTCGCAGTTTAAGAACCTCGACGACCGGGGCCCGATGGGGCCGACGGCGATCCCGGTGCCGGAGCACCCGACGCAGGCGCTGCTGCGGCGGCTCAACGGCCTGTACGACAGCCCGCTGCTCTTCTTCCACGGCGGCGCGGACGACGCCATCATCGCGGGGCTGTGGAACCCGGAGCTGCTCCAGCGCCGCTTCAAGGCCAACATGCCGTGCTCCCTGCGCCCGCGCAAGCTCGAGAAGAAGAGCAAGCGCCGCATGGAGAAGGCCATGCGCCAGGCCAAGCGCTTCGCGGACAAGAGCAGTAGTAGTAGCAGCAGCGACGACGAGGCCGCCGACGACGACGAGGACCGCGCGTTCGAGATGGACCGCGCCGGCGTGCTGGCCGAGATCGCCCGCCTCGGCGCCGGCCTAGTCGAGGGCGTCGAGACTAAGGACTCTACGGATAGCATCTAGGAATGGCTGTCGGGTCCTATGCTCTTGCGGGACAGCCGGGGGCGCGGCGGGCTATACCAGCATGATCAGCGCAACGATAGCTATGGGATGGTGGTCGGGAACGCGCAACGGTTTTCTTATTATTGATAGGGTTTGTGGAAGCCTGGTGGCTGATACATACCTATGTTTTAGGAGGGGAGGAGATGGGGAGTGCACGGGTGCGCATTTGTGTGAGGTAGTGTGTGTGTAAAAGAAAAATAGAGCACGGGTTGATGATACCAAAGTGTTACGCCTCGCGGCATATTATATGTTAGAATTATGTGTTCGGATTAAATGAATCTACATTTTTCGAAATTGTGGTTTCAGAGGTTGATATTGGAGGCATAGATGCCTGGTAAACGAACGGACGCCATAACTAGGTACCTACCTAGGTACCTGGTGTATAGGAGAACTGCGTAGGCTGGTTACCTGTAACTTGAAGGCAGCGAACGTAGGTAGTGTCGTAGACCCCCTACAGCTATGTCTAGAAACTACCTATTTGTTGTTTCTAGACAGTCACAATCACACACAAATGTATGAGGGCCAATACGTCGTAAGGCTTCGTGGTAAGAGGTTATCACATCGGCGGTATCACGCCGAAAGTTTCTAGTTCGATCCTGGACGAAGTCATGCTTTTATCGATTGCACTTCCTAGGCTTTTTTTTCTTGAAGATCTGTATTTCCCCTTTCCATTGGATCTGCCTATAGCTTTATGCCTTGGTAGATATGTATAATCGCATGTAAACAAATGGCAATACTTAGTCATTTATAACCTACTTCTTAAACACGATTTCCCTGTCCCGCTGTACTAGTTCAAGGAAAGTACTATGTCCTTTTTTTTTGTCTAGAATATTCGTAACTATAATACTGTCTGCACTATGTCCACACAGGAGGTGTGTAGAATAGATAGATCATCATACCTTCGATACCGGCTTGGCGTCTATAAGCACGCAGGTGGCTAGGCCAAACCTCGGCGTTGAGAGCCTACGGACTATACATCGGCAAGTAACATATGTAACGTCATTTACTACACATCTCAGATCCCAGAAGCAACTTGCAACTTGTCTCCGCGCGGGGTGGTGCCGGCCGAATAAAATCGGGCACCAGGCCGTGGTCTTTTGTACGTAATCAAGATCATGATCAATAACATCATTACTCAGGTATATATTTATACCTATACTATGCATATGGTGACATGGATCTAGGATCTGGACGAGCTAAGCTACTTGGCAACTAGCCAAGGCTGGGCACGGGGTGGTAGTGCGTGAATCCGGAGTATCACAATGCCCGGACGCAACACAAGACGGCCGGGCGAATGCGATCTACAACATAGGTTTCCGTAAGACATAGCATAACTACCTAAATTAGATAGATTCGTTCACGTATAGACGAATAAAGACGATATTGATGTAATAATTCATTGATTGGGGGGCTGGGGAATACCACATAACTCATACAACCATACACTGCAGTGCCTAATTATGAACAATCCCGGTGCCCTAGAAGACACAGTAATGAACACAGGGGTAGAGCAATAGTAAACCACAACAGAAGAAAAAATAGGGTTGCTAGAGTTAACCGGTGAGAGGAGTTTTGTCATATTATGATAGCTGAGGTGTAACATCACGATGTTCGTAGTTGGCGAAGACCGGCGCAACAACTCGTCAAAAACAACGCAAGGCCTCCAATATTGAGCCCATGACCCATCAGGCTTGTCCGATAACATTCGTTGATCAGATCAGTCCTCGGGAAACAGCTCCCGCAGGTTACTGACGAAGACGCCCCGCTCGCCATCCCACCTCTTGAAGAACTTGCCGGCCATGGGCATCAGGTCCTTGATCTCTGGCGGCAGCACCTCGGGGCCCCCACGGAGCTCCACGACCTCGATGTTCTCCTCGGCGATAACGTGGTGGTCCGAGCCATCGGTGCCAACCCTTTATTCATCACACGATCATGTCAGTCTCAGTAAAAATAAATAAATAAAAACAGAAAAGGGTAAACACATCGCACGCTACGTATGTAGTCGGAAGGGAACATGGGAGGGGATGGGGACGAAGACGGAAAAGAACTCACATGCAGCGGTAGAATGGTTGGCTGAAGGTGGACCAGGGTCTACGGGTCGGGGACAAAGGATTCTCATCCCAGGAAGAGGCCCCCTCCACCGTCCAGCCCAGGATCAAACCATGATACTCGTAGCGCTTGTGCTTGAAAACCTGCCCGACGTGATATTTGACGTGGACGTCCTTGGCGAGGTCGCTGCGGCGGCGCGGGGGTTTCGCGGAGCTGTCTACCCGTCGAATATCCCTGATCTGGTCGCGGACTCTCTTGGACGGCAGCTCCCAGTCGTTCTGGCGGCGCGAAGGGGCGGCGAAAGTGTCGTACATGGGACATACGTACTTTTCGACAAGCCAAGAATCTTCGGGGAAGTACTCGTAGAAGTACGTGAGTAAGTCGCGCACGTCCTGCTGCCAATCCCAGCGGATTTCGTCGTTCTCGGGAAGCACCGGAACCATCATGATACTCGCCCAGATCATGCTGTACAACGCAGGTTGCAGGTTGCGGGCCCAATCTCCGCGGTTGAGTTCGATCATGGGGATCAGCTGAGAGAGAGGACGCTCGTTGGTTCGGAAGCTGGTGAAGGAAGCTCGGATATTTTGCGCGGTGCGCATCACGATGAGATCTGTGGCCGTGGGGCCTAGTAAGTTCTCGTAACCGGTATGGATTCCGACTCTGGATAGAAAGTTATAGATGTAATCTAGAGGAACCTCCTCGTCTGATCCATAGGGATCGAGGAACATGTTCTCTTGATGTTGTGACTGTTCTTCGGGCAGAGGTCGGCCATTCAGCGATATGCCTGGTGGCGACAGCACTGTAACGTGGACATGGCTGGGTAGGGCACATGGGTACGCCTCCAATCCAAGTCGTGACGCTATGGCCGAGAAAATGGCAGCAGAAATGATGGGTAGCGACGGATGATGCTCATCTCGGAGAGCCCTACCAATAAGGCAATTGCGCAGATAGCGATATGTCACCTCCGTCGGGTCGTTTAAGCCCGTCATATTGTTAGAGCGAAGCCATCGAGCTAGAGCAAAGGCCTTTTGTCTAGTGGCCTTCTCCTCGAAATACGCATCAGCCTTACGGAAGCGTGCCGCAATATCATCCAGTAGCGCAGTTATCTGACGAGTTGAACACATATGAATTAGTCGTATGGTTGTAATAGAGCAATATATTTTAAACATACCTCGTCTAGATCGCCCTCGTTGTCATGGAGCATGAACATATCAAAGGCGCCGAGAGCGCGCTCCAGGCGCATTCCGCAGTTCAACTTCTCGCTGTTCGGGGTGTCTTCGTCGATGCGACGGGCTGCGTACTTATGGTACTTGGCCCACTCTTCTATAGCTAGGCTTCGATGGATACTATCGAGGACGGAGCAGGAGTAATACCTACAATTCGTACCGATTGGTTCTCTATTAGGCCCAACAGCTCGACGCATGCATCACAAGTAATACGAGCATACCTTCGCGCCAAAACATCTTCGCTAGAATCGGGAATCCGGCATTGGCTGAGGAGATAGTCTTTAGCATCGTACCCGTACTGGCAGATCTGCTCTATCTTTTGCAAGCGAGAGACACGAGAAGCGACAATGCCGTTGACTAGGCGCGCAATGCAGTCATTGCGGCCGAGTCGAAGGAGGAAGAGTTGCTTCCAGTCAGTCTCGTGTACCTTGTCCTCTAGCCTCTCCCTGAAGCGATGGCCGGATTCCCAATACTTGAAATTCCCTTCGCAATAGCTTCTCCATAGAAGAGGTTCTTGGGCGATACGGTTGAAACGCTTGGACAAGAGTGCGATCTTGGATAGGATCTCTTCCGGGGAGACGTATAGTAAAACTTGATGGACGATCTCGTCGGGTAAGGAATTAATGGAGGCCACTATCTTTTCGGCCATGTCGTCTGATTTGTTGATTCATCAAAGGAAAAGTGCAAGTGCTAAAGAAGTGAAGAAAAAAGAAAAAGAGAAAAGGTCAAACGGAGAGAGGAAGAAGGGCGCATTTATCACCGAGGGGGGGTGAAGGTTTGCGCCGAGTTAGAGCTTAATAGGTATTGGATGTAGGGATAGCGAAGTCGTCAGGTCTCATGCGACCAACTGCGATGGACAGTATACTTTGATGTATGTAGGTAATGCGATTTAAATCGGGTCTGATACGTCAAGAGTCGGTGATCGAAGTGGGGGCTTTTATACTAATCCTTTTACAGAATTTATGTCTCAATTCACCCCGCTCCTAATGACTCTACTAACCGTAAAAAGGCTATTCATCAAGGTTCTCGTTGCTGTCGCTTTGCCCGAATGCGACTTGTTCACACAAAAAGTGCACCACGCTAGTCCCGCTTTAGTTAAGCGCACATCTAATCGTCCTTGTCCCGTCATTCAAAGTACTTGTGTACCGTTTCTGGTCCAAGCTCCAAAAAGCTGTTGTACACTTTTGGCCCTGGTCCGAAAGTAAACATTAGCACAAAAAAACGCGTCTTGGGCGAGAATTGACGTGTTGTAGCACTTCGTCAGGGCCCTGCATCTTTTAGATGGAAGCCTTTCGAGACTCAATACTCTCAACACAACACCTTAGGTACAACACCAATTCTTATCACAGATTCAATATTGAATCCTATCCTGCGTGTCCATACCATACCATTCCATACCCAGTTAACTATTTCTTATCATCTCATGGTTAATCGAAACTACGCGCTGGCACATCGCAACATTCAATCCCACTTGCACGGCATCTTCATCCCACCTCTCCCGCCGACAAGATGGACGACACGCCTCGAACGCATCTGGGTAATTCCACATACCTAAGTCGAGCACCTCCCGACTTCGACATGACCCAAGAGTCATCTTTCCATTCTCCATCTAAAGACAACAATCTCTTACAACAAATGCGAAATGGTCACGGCGTCAACTTGCGAACACCGCGTGCTAATAGTCGCGCACCTCTGGGCGACAAGAGGAACCTACCAATTGGAATTGGCGGTGCCGAGTTTACACCGATGCTCAAGTCTGCTACGCGAAACAGCGCGCGTCGGTTCGGAAAAGAAAACACGAATGGCGCGGCAACACCTGCTGGTGGTTCCCTAGGTAAGATTGACGAAGACGACATGACCAATATCCCAGTCGAATCCTCGCTGTATGGTCCCTCTCGAGGCGAATCATACGTCGACGCCACACCTCTCCCTCAGGTCGCCGACAGCAGCCCTGCATCCACACCAATGATCATGTTACCGCGACACGGTGGTAACAAAGGCCCTCTGCAAGATGGAAACCAACTGTCGCTCCGAGAGCAAGAGAATGTCATCGATAGAATCGAAAAGGAGAATTTTGGTCTGAAGCTTAAGATCCATTTCCTCGAAGAGGCCTTAAGGAAAACAGGGCCCGGCTTTAGCGAAGCAGCTCTCCGAGAAAATACCGAACTCAAGGTCGACAAGGTCACGATAGAGAGAGAACTCAAGAAGTACAAGAAACAACTATCGTCAGCGGAGAAAGACCTTGAGACCTACGAGCGGCAAATGTTGGAAGTCCAAGAGAAGGCCAAGAAGAAGTATGCGGATCAAAGTCAAAAGGCCGAGACCGAGGCATTG